GTTTACAGTGCTGAGAAACTCCAGTGCCCATAAACGGGAACAGAACTTTTTAGTTATGTTTCCAAGACTGCTAATTAATCAGGGAAGCATAGCCTGTCAACTCAGACCACAGAAGCAAAGAGCAGGGAATAGGACTGCTCTTTTCAGGGAAAAGTCCTGAATAGGACTGCTTTCCCAGGAATGATATATTTTCGCAGAAATCCATAAAGAATTTCATTGAGTTAAAATCATGACTGATTCAAAAAATTGATGAAAATTATAGAATTATTAAGACAAGTATACAAAGGACAATTTTGACAAGTTAAATACATCTCCTGTATAACTATGTGTCCTATCAATATCAGTAGAGGGAAGTGCACACAAGCCATAACATCATAATTTTTAACTTTAGGAAAATCATAAAACACTTTGTCATAAGCAGCAGCAAAAGCACCATCAAAAATTGCCACAGGCTCCCAATAGCTCCCAATAATGCCTCTCTTTCAAACTTGGCTGTAAATTTTTAGGATTACAGTTGAATTAATACAGTTATACAATATTGTCCTTCATATAAACCCTATAAGACATAAAATTAAATGAGGTTTTAAACTTTAAAAAAGCTCTCCATTTCATGATTAAAATACAGTTTCATACAGAAAAATTCATTTTTAATACAATTGACACTAAGATGCACATATGCTTCTAATCTCTATACATCTGATTATTACTAGTCACAGTTGGTTACTTTCTAAGCTCCTTGGCATTTGGGCATGGATATAAAGCCATCAGGTAGATTTCAATGGTAATGTTTTTCACATCTACTAATTATTAAGGAGCAAATGTTTATGCTTTGAAGAATTTTTTAAAATTTATTTATACACCCACTTCTCAGGTAGCACTCTCCCATAACCTCACTCCCCCCACTAGAGCCCTTATACTCTGATGTCCCTGCTACTTTCTCCTGTGTTGTCAGCACCCCCAGCCCTTCCCCACTACTTTCCCTTCTGGTGAACCTAATCAGCCTATCTAGATGGCTTTGTTTTAGGAGGGTCAGCTGTTCCTCATCTAGTGGTAATCAGTAGTCTATATTCCTTTGGATAAGATTGGGGTCTGCTGTTCATTTTCCCAGTTCAATGCTGGGTTACTATCTGGGAATCCCTTTGGCAACCCTGGCTAACAACTCAAAAGAAGGTATCGTCTGTCTGGCATTGTTGCTTGTTATGTACCCTTTAGCTATACATATAGACTCTTATGAAATTATGTTGGCCCATTTAATCTTTGGTTATACTTTCCTCTCGGGTGTCTGAGGCCATATAGTTGGTCCAGATAAACCGATTAATTTTTACTCTTAAAGTCATTTGAGCATCTGTTCCTCAGGGGTCACATGGGCTTGGGAGGAGCCCCTCGCTCCTTTCTTTTACCAGTTCCATCTATGTAAAGATAAGTCAAAGGTCCTGTTCGACCATGGTTGGCTTCACATGTAAGCATGGAGGAAATGATTCCTCTGTGTTGACCCTCCTCTTTATAGACTGTACACTGGTTCAAGTCCATCTGGTGGGGTCTCCTTGGCCTCCTTGATCAAGAGAACAGCTGACCCACCACCATTATAGGACATTTTGAGAGATGCTTATAGTCCCCTGGAGCTAGTCGACCCAGGAGGGCAAGGAGCAAAAAGCGTCCTTTATGTCCCTCTGATCAAATTATCA